GTGAGGTAGCCCCACTTGAATTGTACGATTGTTGTGTTTTCTTTTTAACATGCTGTATTGTCTATTGTTTGCCTTCTCCCCCCTCCCTCTTTTGAATTGTGAGCCGCCCTGAGTCCCCCCAGGGAAAAGGGCGGCATACAAATAAAGGCAAAACAAAACATACAAATAAAGGCAAAACTTTGGGCTAATCCATCTCTCTTGGTCCAGTCTACCTCACAGAGTTGGTATTGTGTGGAAAATAGAAGGACATAATGCTAGGAGTGCTGCTTTGAGCTCCTGAATAAAAGGAAGGCTATAAATGTAATGAATGAATTCAGAACTGAGAATGAACTTAGAAATTCTGTTTCTGGGTTCACTCTCAGTTCTGAATTTCTTTCAAAGGAAACTCTTTTTCGTCAGATTGAATGAGAACTAATACAACATCACATGAGCTAAATTCTCAGCCCAGCACTAGTATGAAGCCAGTCGAAATCTCCATTCAGCATGCAGTTGTGTGATGAGACAGTGACAAACTCCCTCGTCCCACAGAAGGAGAAATTCCATTTGAATGAATACAATTTTCATTAATAATTCATTGACTGACATAAGAAAGGATCTTGAGAATGATACACACAAATCTGCAGATTACAACAAACCGGGGGGGGGGGGGGATTGCCAACTCTTTGGAAAATAGATTCAGGATTCAGAAGGATCTTGGCACACTTGAACATTGGGCCCTAACCAGCAAGATCCAGTTCAGTGGTGAGGAAAGTAAGATCCTACACCTAGGGAAGAAAAACCCAATGCACAGGTATAGAATAGGTGGTACCTGGCTCAACAGTAGTAACTGTGAAAATGATCTAGGAGTCCTACTGGACTACCATTTGAGTATGAGCTAGCAGTGTGCTGCAGCTGCCAAAAAAGCCAATGCAGTCTTAGGCTGCATCAACAGAGGGATATCATCAAGATCACGAGACATGAGAGTTTGGCTCTTATACTACACTAGTGAGGCCATGCTTGGAATATTACAATCAGTTCTGGTCGCCATATTTAAAAAAAGATGCTGAAAGCCTAGAAAGAGTGCAGAGAAGAACAGTAAAGATGATAAGGGGTCTGGAGGCTAAGGTGTATGATGAACATTTAAGGGAATTAGGTATAACTAGTCTACTGAAAGACACGATAGCTGTCTTCCAGTAGGGGTGACACGATAGCTGACTTCCAGTACTTGAGAGGATAGAGGGGGTCTTCAAGAAAAGATTGGATGGCCATTTGTCTGGGATGTAATAAGGTCTCCTGCCTTGAGCAGAGGTTTGGACTAGCAGATTTAAAAGGACCCTTCCAGCCCTGTGATCCCATGATTCTTTGATTTTAATTAATTTAATTTAATGATGAAATTTCATTAGAAAATTAGTTAAACAAAAAGCAAAACTTTAAAAGTCCTTTTTTTAACCATGATTTTTTCCCTACAGATAGCAAATCTGTAGAATTAATACTGTGGTTCCTTGCATCCTTCCTGCGAAAGAGGAAAAGCGAGGCTTCTAAAAATGTTTTATAACATGTACTTTTTATTCTTCTTCTTGTTCTTCTTGTGCCATATACGTCATCAGACATTGGTGATCATGTTGGCAATCCTATTTTTGTCAACAGCCACATGAAAAAGTGCTGCTGAGTTTTGTCCAAACCATGTTATTTTTATTACTTTAACATATTTTAGGATATTAACAAAAGCTTTCTCTTACCCATGCAATGTTTCCATATATCTTTCTCTTTCTACTTTTTGGAATCTGAGTTATTGCACTTCTTAACTTTTTTCCTTTCCTCAGTTCATTAAGCACACACATAAACAAAATGCTTTTTCATACGGACCATCCCCATCCCCCTGAATGTGTTTTTTTTTCTAGCATGTGTTTGTTTGTATGCATTTATACTATGTATGTATGTATGTATGTATGTATGTATGTACGTACGTATGTAAAAAACAGATGCAAAGTTATGTGGGGATTAGGGAACTGATCGGATTTTGGATTTAGTCCTAAAACTAAATTAAGGTTATTTTCAGTGTCCTATTCTAAATGTATATAATTTTCTTTCTTTCCTTGCCATTGTAATAGCAAGAACTGTCTTAGCACTATTAAACATCTATGCACATATTATAACAATGTTACTTTCTGTTATTATCATATAAACCTCAATTATATGAAATGGTTGCCATAACATCAACAATTCATAATCCTGATGAATTATCTATTTCATACAATTTACTTTTCACCAATGTGTTTCTAACTATTAAATTTAAATACTGTACTCATTTATCTGAGTATACAGTCAAGGTTTTGAGGTGTTATTTATAAAACTGCATTTGGTAATCTTTTTAAATTTCTGTGCTTGTTTTTTCACAATACATCTTTGCAAATTAAAAGAATTGGTGGTAGAATGATAACATTTTGTCTAAACAGCACAACTGACCACATTATCTTCTGATCTCTCCTTTAGACAACATTTGTGAGTTTGTGTGTATGTGTGTCTGTGTGTGTGCGAGACAGAGAGAGAGACAGACAGACAGAGAGAGACAGAGACAGAGACAGATAGAAATATCCTGATTTTGAACTGATGCACAGAAAACATTAAGAACTGGAACACTGAGACTTCATATTTAAATAACTGGAATTGGATTCAGTGGTGTCATTGCACTGATGGACTGTACTAATTCATAATAAAAGTTCCTTCTTGTATTATCTTGCATATGAGAATTGGGAATCCCTTGGTACCTGTGCAGGTCTCACACTGTCTGATCACATTGATAGAAGTGCACCTGCTAAAATGTTGGATATTACCCATGTTCAGACTTTTCCCCCCATGCCATCATTTAATTTTAAGAACTCAATTCTATTGTACACTTTTTGGCTTTGCAAGAGCTACAATTAACTGTTTCTCTCTGGTAAAAACTATTTCCTTTTACTATATATATATATATTGCCACTCAGTTCTGCCTATTCATTTTTGCATGTAAAATTTATTATATAAAATTTATGGAGTTCTGATGTTTTTGTATTTTTCCCTGATGTTTCTGAATATGTATCTGAAGTGATGGAAAAATGATGGGTGTTTTAATCTTCATTTCCCCGTCTGCCTGGTTCTTATAAATACTGACTGTATTTATTTCACATGCATGTGTTTTGGTCACCAGCTGATCACTATTGCAAATGGAAGCAAATGTTTCTACAAGGTCACCTTATTTTTTACAGATGAATGATGCTATGGGATTTGAATTGCCATGGGTGTATTTTGTCAGTCTCGTCATCTTTGGGTCATTTTTCGTTCTAAATCTTGTTCTCGGTGTATTGAGCGGGTAAGCAAACAACTTTTTCATCCTAGAAGCAGAGTCCATATTTCGGTTGCCATGAACACATAGGTTGAATATGGAGATTAAATCAAAAGAATTGGGAATAAGATTTCCAAATTTAAAAAACTGGTGGACCAGAGCTTCCTTAAGACCAAATCCATTTTCTAAAAACAAAGAAAATCTCTTGTAAATCAATTTAAATAGCATTAGGTATGAAAAATACAATTTAATAGAAATTAACTGGTGATTTAGAGGTCAGAACAAATAAAACAAGCTCTCAACCCTTTTAGAATTGTATATTTCCACATGGTATAAGGATATAGAAAGTTATATAATTTTCATGACTAAAGTGAAATTGTACACATCATGAGTAAGTGCTAGAGTGCTGGTAAATCTGGTAAATGTGTTGCTAAAAAGAGCAGATGGTGCTAATACACTGAATACCTATGTGATCTGTCAATTGTGAAAGGACTCTGCTATATAGTGAACGGCTGAATCATAACGTATTTCCTTACATTTTACAGGTAAATGATGCAATAGGATGTGAGTGGCCATGGATCTATTTTGTTAGTCTTATCATTCTGGGCTCATTTTTCGTACTTAACCTGGTACTTGGTGTACTTAGTGGGTAAGCCGTTAAATTAAATTTGCATTTCACACCACAGTGTGTAAAATGGTCTGTGCATTTGTTTTAAGTTTCACACTGCTGGCTTTTCTGCATGTGCCTTGGATTGGTATGCCATTTTATGAATGTTTGCTTTTCCAACTGCCTGAATTTTATCATTGTACTTTCCTGTGACACATTTACAGTGCTTGCCAGCTACTTCAATTCAGTGAAAACTAACATTGCCAGTATTACACTACTACACTCTCTGTAGTTGTGAGTACTCTGAACTATCTGTGTAAGTAGTATTTTTAAATATGGATAATGCTGTTGTTCCCTTTGCCTACACCAATGCAACATTCACATTACCACACAGACGTTTCATGTAAATCAGGTGTCAAACTGGCAGCCTGCAGGGTGGATGCATCACACACAGGCCACCCCCACCCCAACTCCAGAAAGGGGTAAAACATCACAAAATGTCATGTGACAGCAACATGATGCCGCAAGTTTGACACCCTTGATGTAAATCATCTGTAAGACATAGTTTATTTTCATTTTTCTTTCTATTTGTTCCTATTGTTTGGTTTTTCTAAGTGTGTGCTGCTCCCACAACATTGAGGGAAACATCCTGTCTAAAGACATGAAATTTAATCTAGGGAATAGTATAAATAGCTTGCCTTGCTGTCAGTTGTAAAAAACACAACAATTTATCAGTGCAAGCCATTTCATCATTGCCAAAGGGAAAGGTTGTCATCTCACCATCATGTGTTCCAGAAGGTTTCTTTCCTGCACTGAAAAAAGAACCTAGAATACTGGCAGACTGCCTATCAGGTGCAAAACTTAACAATTTGAAAATGGAACATTCTGGAAAACCTCCGACATTTCATTCTCCTTCCAGTCCATTTTGAATCGCCTCTAGAACATGTACAGGGATAACTGGGATTTTTTTTTCTGTATGTTAGATCAAGAATATTCTATTTTAGAGAGAGACCTGAGAGACTTCAAATGCCCTCTAATTTGGAGATTTGCCTTTGGAAGAGACCATATCATTCCAGAGGGGAACAGACCATTTTGGAGTTCTTTAAAACACTCTGTTTCCAAATCAGTGAGTTTTTCACATCCTCTGGGTCTGTGGTTTAGTGCAGGTGTTTCCATATCAGTTTTGACTTCTGACAACTGCCTGTGCCACTCTTGCAGTTTTCTTGGCAGTAATTTCAGAAAAGATTTGCCTTTGCATTCTCTTTCCTCAGGCTGAGAGAAAATAAGGTAAGAAAATAAGCTCAAGGTAGTGTTTGAGTATTAACATATGGAAAACTGCTTGTAGTATAAAATCATAAAAAAAACATAAACCAAAAATAGTGGTTGCACCATGTACCATAAAGCACCATGTACCATAAAGCACATAATCTTCTTTCTGCACCTTATCGTGCAACTACTGCTGAAGTCACAACTGGGAAGCAGACATTCACTGTTAAACTGAATGTGACCCATTATTTTGTTTACCATTTGTGAGCAATTAGAGCAGGTGCCTGGCTGACTTTGCCTGATTTTGGAAGCTAAGCAAGATTGATCTTGAATAATACATGGACGGAAGACTATCGGGAAATAATCAGGCTATAGACTAGGAAATGGAAAATCATCCTTTAAGAATACAGTGACAAAGATTGAGGAGGGGTGACACCTGGAGAACCACTTAGTGTTGACTAAATAGACAGAAATATCATTTTAAATATAGACATAATTTATTGATTGTTTTATAAAATAGCCACCCCACTGTGAGTCAGGACAATATTCGCATAACCTAGAATGTTAAAACTCACTTATCTTGTCCAAAAGGCCATTGTTTTAATGCCAGATGTTCTAAAGAATTGAATTAGTTAAAGATTAGGCTTTTATCTCATACTTCATTCCTAATCTTAGAGAATATGGTTAAAGAAGCAGTTCTGTTCCTTTCAGCATGTTAGTTAACTTTGATTTACAATTTTTGGCATTGTTTTCATGAAATAGTTTCAAGGTCCTGATTTTAATTTATTATTGTATTTAAACAATAAATTTCCTTTATTATGTTACACCTTTTCCTAATGAGAGTAAGATAAAGTTGAATAACATAAGAATCCCATTAAAATATACTATCCACTCAATTGCTGTATTTTTCAGAGTACAAGACGCACTGGAGTGTAAGACGAACCAAGGTTTTGAAGAGGCAAATTTTTTAAAAACGTTTTTGCACTCTCCAGACCTTCCAAAAATAATCAATTTTTTTGTGAAAACGGGCCCTTTAAAAAAAAGGGGGGGGGCATGAATAGCCTTTAAGAGGCTTGTAGAGTGCTCCTGGGGAATGGGGGCCCAAAACAAGCATAAAACCCGGCCCATTTGGTATACATAGCCTTTAGGAGGCTCCTGATGGCTGGGGGAGTGGAAATTGAGCAAAAATGGCAGTTTTTCGCTCATTTCTGTCCTTCCCAGCCCCCAGGAGCACTCTACAAGCCTCCTAAAGGGTATGCACGGCCATTTTGGTGAAGGGGGCAGGGTTTGGGGAGGCAAAAAAATGCTGTATTCAGTGTATAAGTCTCACCCAGATTTCCAGCCTCCTTTTTGAGAGAAAAGGGTGCGTCTTACACTCCAAATAATATGGTATATATAACCAACTTACGGAGCCAGCCTAAACGTAGCTGAGTTTGACTCTCAGTAAAGAAGTAACAGAGAACATTATGTGATCAATCAGAGAATCTTTCTTTAAGATTTCAGCCTCAAACACCTCCAATTAAAAAAATTAGCAGTATGCTCAGAGGGAAGAATTTGCTCTTTTTCGGACAGACAAGCCCCAAGCCCTTTGTGGCTTCATGTATTATAAGCATCAGATACGGAAGAATATTCTTAAACAGAATCATAGCCAATGAATCAATTTTAATACAAAATATATTTTTGTCAAATTATCCTGAGTGTTGTGGAAAGTAAGAATCACATTCCATTTATTATTATAATTTTCCAACAGTAACAAGTTTTTTCTGTAGGATAGATGCACTTAGGTGACCATACACTGAAATAGACACTGAGCCAAAATGCTAATCTCCTCTAGTCTGCATTGGTCACATTCTCTATGTTACCAGTGGTTCCTGTTTGCACAAAATAATCTGAAGGGTTATATTTATAAATAGAGAGAAGGCATAGCACAAGCTGACTGAGGGAGATGGAGAAAAACTAACCCTTTTCTGATGTTAATATTATTTATTTATTAATCAAACATATAATGCCTACCCTTTGATCCAGTGAAACTTTGTGCAGCAAACAAAACAAAATACATCAATCTTAAACACTAAAGGAAAACCCATTACACACACACACACCACTTCTGTGCAATAGAAATCCCTAAACAAAGTAAGACATTGGCAGGCTAGGAAGATAGAGCAGGTAGTATATATTATAAACTTTCTAACTTCTAAACCCACAATAAATAGGCAAAGCAAGCATGCCTAATTATGATACAAACCCTGAAGCTTCTGGTGGCAGTTACAACCGAACCGCATTTAGCAACTTTCATAGACATTTCAGCAGATGGATCTGTTAGTAAAAAGTGCACAACCTCTACTTGTATATTTAGCAAAGATGGAAAATATTAATCCAAAGCACTAAGTAAAACATGCCAGGCTCTCTTTGTGCCTTTATCTAAGCATAGGCTCCAAATATGGGATGTTTCTGAATTTGCTGTCCAAACCTTTTCAGCATTAAACTTTGCTAATGTAAAGTTCCCTTCTATAGGAACAGCGAAATGTTTATAACAGATACTTCCATTAAAACAATTTAAAACTTTAGATTGGCCACTCTACAGGTCTAAGTGAAGAGCTCGCTGTCCGACCTCTATCATAAATGTATTGGGCCCATGCATTAACAGAGATAGTTCGATATCGTTGATTTTTTTAAAATTACGGTGGCAGTTGACAGATCTCTTAGTGAATAAGACTATCTTAATTAATTTCTAGTTAACTCATAAGATTAAGTTAGATGTAGGCAACTGATGCTTACCTATTTTAATGTTAACTCATACTACCGTTTTTCCTTGAAAATAAGACAGGGTCTTATTTTCTTTTGACCCCTGAAATAAGCTCTTGGCCTTATTTTCAGGGAGGCGTTATTATTTTTGAGGTACAGGAGGCGGCAGGTGTGGTCACCTCATGGCTGCTGCTGTGGTGCAATATTTTCGGGGAGGGCCTATTTTTGAGGGAGGGCTTATTTTAGCGCTTGCGCTTAAAAGCCCGATTCTGCTTATTATCCAGGGAAATCTTATTTTCAGGGAATCAGGGTAAATCTGACCATTAGTTATGCTGGCTAGTCATGTGAGAGTTACAACCTAAACATTTGAAGACATCAGGTTGCCAAACTTTGAGTTAAGGAACTAGAACAGGGCTGTCAAACTCACATGCATCACACGCCTGGTTTAGTAAAGGGGGGGAGTCCTGATACATCATGGGACACTGTCACAATAATGTGACAGCCCGGAACTAGAAAGACTTTACTTCAATCACTGCTGTCCACCAGGTATCACTCCTCAATCGTATTTCAGATTAAAATTTTCCTCCATCTGTTCTCATTTATATGGATTTTATTTGCCTCAAACTTTATATTCTTTGACTTGCTAGGTCAGTTTAAGAATACAATATTAATGCAAACTTATCTAATATATTTGTATTGTTGAAAATATTATATGTGTGCATGCTTTAATTTTAGTCAGTTATCAGTACAGCTCCAGACAAAGTACCTTCTGAATAACAATCACCACATGAGAAAGTATCAGGACATTTGCCCTTATTTAACATTCCAAATAACTGGGGAATATTTTGGAATTCTATCTCTCTTACTTTCAAAATGCCAGGCACAGTTTACAGAAAGAAGTGAATCATTTCCTCAAAACCATCCAGAGTGTTTGCAATTAGGATAAGTTGTGAACGTAGACATGCCAGTTTACAATTTAACACTCAGTCAACCATAACACAAATGCAGGCAGGAAAGGAAAGCAAAACATTTTTATACAATTGTAAGCGTGAGAAGGGGTCCTTGCTGACCACTAAATCCATTAAAAAGGAACCTTGCAGTATACATACAGTATTAAACTAGGTAGTTGATTAATGGGTGCAGTTGATTGAAGTTGAATAATTGATTGCTGAAAAACATTTTAACCACTGTAATTTATTATCGTTTCAGAATAGGATTCACACTGTTTGCAATTACAGAAGTTTAAAGATCTAATTAAATGAATCTATATTTAAAGCTGTTTTAGGCTTCCGGTGTTAATCTAATGGGGTGGTTTCTATAACTGAACACACAAGCACCTAATTATAATTATTCTATGAACTTTGGCATTATGTATTGTTCAGATAGCTTTTTAAAAACTGGAATCCACATGTTGTGCAAAATTATAGTTTCTTAATCATGGTTTATTGAACAAGCTGTGAAAACATTTAATCATCTCACCTTCTTACTCACTTTAAGTGTGTCTATTTCATCCATCTGTTGATGGGGAAAAGAAAATTCAAGTGGGGTATCACTTGTATTTCTTAACAGTAATTTGACAAGTAGCCTTGTTTGAATGAAGCTCAGAACTTTGGAGAAACAGGATTTTCTTCCCTTGTACAAAGAGGTTTAAAATATTTACATTCAAGAATAATATAAAGCAAATGTGATTGAAATTCTCCTTGAAGACTAAATTGAAGCACTGCTTCTTTTTTCTTCCTCTTCATCCATTATAGTTTATTATTGTTTATTTACAGAAAATGTGGGCTTTCCTCAGTTTTCAGAAACTCTTTGGCTATGCAAATCTGTATAGACAAAATGCATCAAAGATGTCTGGCTGTGAATCGCACAAGGCCACAGACCACGAGAGCAATTCTTTTATAGCTAGCGTAAAGCAGCTTCAGCAAAGCACATTCTAGAAAAGAGCAATGTTCCTTGACTATTTCCATTTTCAAAGGTTTAATAAATGAGTGATCTTTTGCTCTTGAAAACCTATTAACAGCCTATATTCCACAAAAATCCCCATAATTGGGGTGATTCATACAATATCCTAAATTACAGTATGTTGTATAATTTATAAAGTGAGCCCAATTGACAAAAGAAAACTCAGGAACGTATTGGTTGGAAATATGTGGAAGAGGCCTTCATCCTGCAGTGGATAGACAGCGGCTAAAATAATTGATGATGTTAGTTTATAAAACACAATGGTTAGGTCCATACAACCTACAAAACTAAAGTTAAGCAAACCATAAAGCTAGATCATTGGAGGTTATTCTGTTTACAAAAATATGAAAAATGTAACCAGGGCTCTCAACCAAAAAGTCATTCTCAACATTAAACAGAATATTTCTTTCTGAAAACAAGCAATGGGAAACTAGTATTTTTTAATCACGCTTGATTTGATTTTCAGAGTTGTTTTATTTATTGCTTTCCTGTTGAATTTTTGGTTTAGTCAATACCACAACCTTGATTCTGGGCATATTTAAGGCAGCAGCTCAAAATGTGACTCATCATCCAGTGGATTTGTTGCCTTCATATTATAAAATCAGCCCCCTTGTAGAGCAGGAATGAATTATATAGAAATAGTGGTTGTTTTTGTTACACAGGTTCATTTTTAAAATGGCACATTTAAAATGTCAACCATTCAGGGGTTATTATATTGTTAACATAAAATATTTGAAGCAGTAAGAGAATCATTTCTTATTTACCAAGTGGAAGACCTTTTTTTTTTAATGAGGTGGGATAATCTGCTCCTCGGGAACTGTGCTAACCACCAGAGGATGCTTTCTGTGAAGACAGATTCTACTGGAAGCACCGCTATTTTTCTGGGTAGTCATGGGAACACACTTTTCAAACATACATTTATATCTATAACCTTAATTTATTGTCCTGCTTGAGGACAGCAAGAGACTAATGTTCTGGCATGTCCCTGAACAACCTTCTATATGGGAAAGTAATGGGTTTGTAGGGATATATATTCCTGGCAATTCCTATAGCCGTGTTGTTCTTACTGTGGGTGCCCTTGGATTCCTCTATTAAGAAACTGCTGTTAATTATGTGGATACATCCCTAAAAACAGCTGCAGCATAGCACACACAGGATTAAGAGAAAAAGGCATTTAAATAATGATGCACTAAATAGAAAATGGCAATGAACTGTCAGTTTCAGTTTCCGGGCAAAAGCAAACGAAGTCACTTTGACAGCATTCCTTTTCTCAACAGAGCTAAGGATAAATAGGAAGAGAACATAAGAGCTTGCCATTCTCTAACACAAAGAGTCTAACAAAAATAAAAATAAAACCAACATTTTATGCATTCATTTGTATGTCTTTTTATAGGTACCTGTTTCATGCAGTTGACTCTCTGCGGCTAACAAGCATTAGAAACACAGAAAAGCCCACAACATATAACCCTAGGCACTCAAAAACATATACCAAAAAATAAAATAAATAAATAAACACAGAGGTCATCTAACTATCTGACCCAAATCCCTGGAGAAACAGCCAAGTCTTCAGAATCTTGTGAAAAGACTAATAGGGTTTGAGCCACCTGTATCTCGGAGAGGGTTAAGGACAGGGGGCAGGGGCTGCTACCGAGAAGATGTGATTCTGAGTCCAACAACGTTGATCTTTGGTGTTGCACAACCAATACAGGTATTAGGACCAAATATTACCATCTCAGTGTGCTATTTGAGGACATTTTTATATATTCCTTATTTTGTTAATCTGATGTTCTTTGGGCAATGAATAAAAACAACTACCAAACTCAGACAGGTACAGCATTTTTGTGCCTGGAAAGTATTTACTTAGATTTGGAACTAGAAACCTTTGAAATCTGACTCACCAAACAGTGGTGCTATACTTCTACATGGGGCTGGCCCTGGAGAGCATCTGGAAAGCTTCATCTGGTGCAAAAGGCAAGAGCGCAGGCAGTTATGTATGCACATTACACCTCTGCTTCATGAGCTGCATGGGTTACCAGTTTGCTTCTGGGTACAATTCAGGGTGCTGGTTTTGACCTCTAAAGCCCTATATGGCATGCACCCAGGTATCAGAGGAACTGCCTTTTCCCAATTACATTTACCTGTCTCACTAGGTCTGGCAGGAGAGACATGCTGTGGGTCCCATCTGCAGTGACGGGACCCTAAGGCAAGCCTTTTCTGCTGTGGCATCTACCACCTGGAGCATCCTCCCTGTTAAGGGGAGGGTAGCCCCAATCCTCATTGCTTTCCAAAAAGCCCTTAAAACAAGCATGGGGACCTCTGGTATTAGGGAACCTGCATGTTGGCTGCATTATGTGTAATATTCTCCTGCTTGTGGTTTTGTTTTTGCCTGTTTATTGTGTTGTTTTTAATTTGTTTTGCACTATATTTTAGTAGTATGTTATATCGTATGCTGCTGCCCAGGTATACTTCAGGAGAAATGGGAGGCTATATAAACTAGACAAAACAAATAAATAAAATAGCTGGCAGGGCCACCTGAGACCCTAAATTATATTTAAGAAGATGAAAGGAAGCATTACGTCCAGTCTACTTCAGAGGAGATCCAGAATGATGCCAGGGCAAGTCTGTCCGATGAAGGTTTGGAATGCCTGCTGTTATGAGTCCTTAAAAGTATAAGGCACAAGGAATGTAGCATGGCAAGTGATGTGAATTGCTATGTGATGTGTGGAAAGTGTTTGTATTTTTGTTAATTTTCTTCATTGATATAATCTTTTCAAGGAAAAATAAAGAAAAAATATGGGGGTTTGAATTTTGTTATTGTTGAAAGACTACGTAGCTTCGTAAATCAGTATGTCTCGTGTTTTATCTGCATCCGTAGAGAATTTTCCAAGGAAAGAGAAAAAGCCAAGGCCAGGGGAGATTTTCAAAAGCTACGTGAGAAACAACAGCTAGAAGAAGACCTCAAAGGTTACTTGGATTGGATTACCCAAGCAGAAGACATTGACCCAGAGAATGAAGAGGAAGGTGACGGAGAAGGCAAACGAAATAGTATGTCAAAGCTCCTCAGTTTAAAGATCCCTGATAGAAGAATATTCTGTGTTGTAAAAATGATTTACAAAAACCTTCTTTAATTGACTTCCTCCAAATACGTTGGGACAGCAATTCTGGAATACTTAATCATCATGGCTTTGGGGAATACCAGGGGTGCTTTTTCAAGAGGCAACTGGACTTTCTTGTTTTCCTTTGAAGTTCTTTCACTTCTCCTCCAAGAATCTTTTTCAGCTTTTTTCAAAGCTGAACAGAAAACCCAGTTGCCTCTTGAAAAAGCACCTTTGGTACTCAGTGCAAGAATTCCTTTTCTCCACAGCATCCCATTCTCTGGAAAACCTCGTGTTTCCAACATTGCTATGACTTATCTCAGCAAGTATCCTAGATCCTGATCCCCATTTTTGCTTCCATGCTATACTTCCCCATCCCACATCTCTCTTTGCCCCGAGAAGTCCAGTGCAGAACTTTCCTTTGATGCATGTCCTCTCCTTCAGCTTTCTCCAGAGCTGGACAGAAAGTCCATTTGCCTCTTGAAAAAGCACCTTTAGGACAACCATGACCTGGATGACTGAGAACCTCCACAGACACTTTGGGGAGTACTTATTGTATAAAGTTGTTGAGAATTTTAGATGTTTGGAGAATATCAGGCAGAAGGTGATTACATACAATCAACTTTCTCAGATTTATATGTCCTTCCGAAATGTGTTCAGCACACTCCCTGTCCAGCATTTTTTCAAATTTTGCTGATTTCTCAAACTCTATCCACCAGTATGTTGCCAAATTCTTTCCTAGGAGTAAGATATTATTACTCCTGCAGTTTTTGCATTCTCTCTTGCTATAGCCTTTGTATAATGAAACAATGACAGTATTCTCCTAATTATCAGGTACAAATACCCTCATTATAAATATGTTAACTATGTAGCATAGCCATTCCATTAGCAAATCCCATTTGTATATTAGCTCTTCTCCAGTTCTATCAAGAACAATGCAGATCATTCTTCAGAATTCTCACATTTATTACTTTCTTTTCATCCATTTTTTCTCAGATATTAACCTTAGTATTCAAATCTCAGAAGTGTCCCACATTCCCTCACTTTGATTTTATTTTAAATCATTTTATTGCATTTATTTTTAATTTCATTCTCTCTGGTGAAAACTCCTTGTCTATCCCTTTTTCCACAGCCATTATTTATTTCTACCAAAATAAGCCTTTATTTTCTCTTTCTTTCAGTCATCAACCAATTGATTCTTGCTTGTGTAGGCAACAGAATGAACTTCCGGTTGATCCGTTGGGCCTCTTTTTCACTCTCTCTAGGCTCGGGAGATTTTCCTGAAGTCTGGGGAGGGGAGAAACAACCTCCCCTGGCCCTCTGGAAGGCTGAAAATCAGAGCTAAGGGCTGTGGAGGGTTGCGGTGCCAGTAAATATGGCTCTGTGTGCCACAGGTTTGCCAACACGGATCTAGATGATGCCAATTCCACCATATTAAACCTAAATTTACTTTCTCTGCATGAATTCATCGTCATCTCCCCAATTATCTTCTTTGTTTTGGATCTGTTGCAACCTTCCCTTTCTCTTATTCTTAAAGACACAAAGCCTGTCTTTTTCTTTATTCCACCTCTAAACTCATGCCCCTTCTTATTTATTCCTTTTATATTCAACCTGTAATTTTTCATTTGCTGCGACTGTCACCAGATGGCCCCCAGATGCTGACTTCCACTATTATCCTAGAGTTGGTTTATAAAAGCTTTCATGTTCATTTGTAAAAGACAAAAGTACAGTCTAGACTAGAATCTAGAATATCAGCCTTAGCTGCATCCATGCCACATGGTTACATTCTCTGCTTACAGTAGGACTCTATTGGTTGATTTTGACCAATAGGCCGGAAGCACAACCAAAGTCCAGTTTTATTCAAGCATGTTAATACTCCTTTGTGCAAACACAAATCTTTAATCTAAATAATATCTTACAAGCCAAAAGGCTGTTGCCCATATTCCACTAATTATGAGAGGCATGCAGTGTCTATAGTATTGACATTCATTCAAGAGATAAAGTTTGTAATTTAGATATATTTATTAACTCATATTGTGGTTTAGATGTCAGACCAACTGTTACCTTTTTAATTTTTATTCTAAAAGTCAGCCACAAAAGAATGGCTAGGAATTGGAATTATCCTGTTCATGACAATTATGTCGTATTATTTGATTTATAGCATGTTTACAGTATGGAATATATTAGGTAACATAAAGTAGAAGCTTAAGTTTTCCTGGCAGAAGGAATATAACATTTTGCTATCTATACTTTATCTCCCACCATACCTTTTAGACATTCCAAAAGTATAGAAAAGAGGATTGGTTTGAGCTTTCACAGACCTGTGTCTTTTGGGATTCATCTAGTGAGCTCCAGGGACACACTGCATGACTGAGAACAATTTCTTTATCTTATTTGTAGTAGTAGATCCCATTTAAACTCCCCAGTGTTAGGGAAAGATGCACATTTATGTAGCTACATGCAGGATTGAGACATGTATACTGTATCATTGCATATGGTTACTACAATTAAAAATGTCAGGATGCATTTTGGTTGTTAATTAATTCTTATTGATACCTGTAAATACTGTGTAGAAATGTGCTATGTAATAGTGCATTTGGAATGTCTTTAAACACACATCAATTTCTAGACAGGACAGCATTATATCAAATTATACATCCTTGACATGCCATCTTATTCTTGCGCCACTCTAGAATTCTTCTGTTGGGACTTTCTGTGTCTTCACTGATACTTTTGAGCAATTAGATCCATAGATATATTAAAAGAAGGCAGAACTGGGCTGCTGGAAAATCCCTTATATTTTCAATCTTCCTTTAGAAATAAATGATAGCTATAGAACAATTGAAATAGGATAGTGATATTTTGTGGAAGTGATAAAAAATTGATATTCTGGATATAAGAGTACATAGAACTTGCAAAAGGGAAGAATCATTTCATCTACTTCTTCAGCTAATTTTAGAGACAAACATGTCAAGCTATCAGAGTGTTCACACTAGAAACATAGTCTGCAGAGATGTTCTTTCCTCCTGATTAAGTATCTACTGTCCTTATGACTTATTGTTAATGACATCTTAAAGCAGTACTTTGTGCTGCATATCAAATAGCATCCTATAACCAAGAAAGATGTTAATATTCATGGGACATGTTGCAGAGTAGCTAGTAGACTAGATGTGATATCTCAGAATACCTTAGCATCCATCTAAATTAAAACCTTAATGTTATATAAGATTATTTATTGGCTTGCTTGATTTGGGGTTTTCTTTTTTCATTTTTGCCTCTGCTAATCCATGTTTTCCAAAACACAATCTAGAGTGCCTGTGAAATTGTGCAGATATCTCTTTTAATTCTCACAAACACTGCCACTTAAAATACCATTGTGTGATAACCATTGATAAGTAAGAGAAAATTAAGCACTTGCTATCTTCTATGAAAACGGCACACTTTGTCAACTGATGAATACATCTAGTGACACAGGTTGTCCTACATGACAAAATGTTTTTACACATTTGCTGCAGCAGTATTGCTATTTTTGGCATTGCCGAATGCTGTGTCCTGAGATGGGCCAGTTTTAATATACAAATTCCACTGAAGTTAATCTTCTATTATTGATAATACTCTATTGCAGGATTTGTGTGGTCTTTCTTCATCTTACTGATTTGCAATAAAGTTGTAAAGTCATCATTATTTTCTTTTTTGTTTTGATTTGGAATATTTGGATGAATTAGAATTGGATATGGGCTAGCTAAGGCTCTTCTAGCTCTCTGCTGAGAATCTGTGGAGAAACGGATTTATTTATGTGTAAGCCTCTCTGTTGCATCTTACTTGGTAGAAAGTCACACTATGTTTAGTCAGGCTTGTTTCCTGATAAATATACTTAGAATTGCAGGCTCAGTCAGAGATCAAAGTCCACTATTCTTTCTTTAGAAAAATTTCACAGAGACATACAAATAAGGGAGATTTCACAGTATGTGCTAAGGGATTTGTAAGCCTGGTAGGAATGTGTTTTGGCCGACAGTTATCAGAAATAGAGCTTTCTGGATTCACTGCCTATCATGAGGTTGAGTGCTAATATATATATGCAATTTATGCTTTCAGGGATTAGCACTTTCAACCAGGTAGGAAAAACAGTTAGCATAAACAGAAAGACGAGCTCAATTTGAGATTTTGTAATTCAACTTTAATCTTTATTTACTTCGTGTGATACTCTTGTAAAAATATTTGGATGTTCATTATTCAGTAAAAGACATTGAATGAGCTGCGTAACTGTTAGAAGTGATTCATCTCTGTTTTCACAGTTATTCCAGTCTGATCTTGGCTAAGAATGATTATAGAATATTTTCCTGACAGCTAGAACAATTAATCAGTGGAACAACTTGCCTCCAGAAGTTGTGAATGCTCCAATACTGGAAGTTTTTAAGAAGATTTTGGATAATCATTTGTCTGAAATGATATAGGGTTTCCTTCCTAAGCAGGGAGTTGGACTAGAAGACCTCCAAGGTCCCTTGCAACTCTATTATTCTATTTCTAGTTTAATTTAGGGAAATCTGTATTAATCCACACTAATATCCACAAGTAAATTATTACTTAAAATATTACACTATTGTAGAATACATTACATTTTGGGGTTGCAAAAAGCTGCCTTAGTTTGATCATTTAGTTTGAAATACTGAGTTCCAGAAGCTTTTCAGATTTCAGCAAAATTAATTCTTGGAAATGCATATGGCTGAATCTAGGCCATTTTGCATTGAAAAGACATATTCCACTATTAAGCTATAGCTTAATTTTATCCCATATCAGTTATAGAGAGGTAGCTAACATAGCTTATTTAAATGAGAGTTTGGAAGCGCTTTGCAGCAACCATCTGTCTGGCTTTGTTATATCCCAGCTATCAATGATCACATATAATTAGGCTTTGGACATTATACAAGTCGTCAAACTATGAAGAGAGTTAGAAGTCCATTAATAACTATCCTGACACTACCATGCAAACAAAGGTATAGGTTTACAAGTATTATTGATAATTCAACCAAGTTTAACTTTTGTATTACTTCTCAGTCTGCTTGCACAGACTGAATGATATGGCTAATTTGTTGTCTTCTGCACTTCTGCTGCTGCCATCTACTGTATTATGGATGGAATTGCATGTACTTAATATGAAGGGGTTACGCTGGCTGATTTATTAGAAAACAAGAAGAAAAGCAGATTTAGCTGTTGTCGTGGGGCCAACAAACATGGTATAAAATGTGTGTGTGTGTGTGTGTGTTTGCAGTGGAACATTTCATTTGAAATGATGAACTTTGAATCCTGCTTTTCAATGCACACATTTAGAAAAACACCTATGCATGAACACACATGTTTTGCATGGGAATGATTTACTGCTTGACTGCATGTTTTTGAGAGATTGTTCTGCAGTAGCTTAGAACATTGAAATTTTGTTTGTTGTTCTTAGGAAATATATTAACTGTTCTAGAAAAGCACCCGAGGGTAGAACAAAAAGCAATGGGTGGAAACTAATCAAGGAGAGAAGCAACTTAGAACTGGGGAGAAATTTCCTGACAGTTAGAACAATTAATCAGTGGAATAGCTTGCCTCCA